ACATACATACATACATACATACATACATACATACATACATACATACACACATACACATACACATGCACATGCACATGCACATGCACATACACATACATACATATACATACATATACATACATACATATACATACAAATACATACATACATATACATACATATACATACAAATACATACATACATACATACATACATACATACATACGGCAGATATACAATCTTTTGACATACACACATATACGGTATAAATACATATCCGCCGACCGGGTGTGGACCGGGGAGGGAAAACTTGCTGGATCCATTGGTTCTTTTTGGGTGTACTGGGAGGAAATTGGACCCCTGGGACATGTCAGACATGTTCCCCTGCCTGATTAGCCAGGAGCGCACCTTGCACAGAACAATGGTGATGACATGTGATGACTGTAAGATGTGGATTTGTGCAACCAAGTGCTAAGTTGAAGCTTGAAATGGGGGCAATGAGATTTACAGGTTGGCTGTGACCTTTTTTTTTGGAATCCGGACCTACCCTGTGAATCCCTTTCAGTGAAGTCTTGCATCCACAACTCGTTCTTTTGTAGCAGTGGTTTCATCTTGAGCAGATTCGAAACACTGGCCTGTTGTTTTCACACACGCTCTTGGCTCTTTGTTTTTACGGGGACTTTGCTTCGGCGCTCACGTTTTCCGAAAAAAAAACAGGACGAGTTCAAAGACTTCGAGTTGACCGGTGATGAGGTGGGAGCCCGGCTTTGCCGGTTCCGAGCCCGGAACACGCTGGGAGGGCGGAAGGCGTTTCTTGGTTACGGCAAGAATGACCAGGTCGGACGTAGGTTTTGACCAACCTGTTGACACGGACCATCAGACTAAACTCATGGACCATCAGAAACATGGGATTGCACACGGAGAAAACACATTTGCAAATTGAATCTGAGGATGGCATTGAAATAGAAAAAAAAACGCACACACACAAAAACACTTGATTAGGATTTATTACTAGTGTGTCAGCCGTACTCCACTTCTAGAATCTGTCACGGGCATTCGCCGGCTAGTTTGAAGGTAAGTGGGACAACCTCATTGCTGGCCGTTTTTAAGCCAATTGCGTGTTTAGTTTGTTGATTCTTTGCCTATTGTTGTGGGCCCCTAGTAGTTTGCATGAGCCTAAAGACGTGTTTCGACTGACAGCACGGCCCTTTGACGTCGTCGATTTCGTGGCAGGTGGAAGACATGCAAAAGGAATTGAGAGATATGATTACGGCCTTTCAGGTCTGGCGTCGGCGGTTGTGTTTTTGTCGGGAACTTGGGAGGCGACGTGCTGAGCGAGCTGCGGCCTGGACCGGTGAACCTATGTGAACCTATCTCCTCAAGAGGTCAAACTTGCTGAAATTTGCCCATGTATGAGGGGAGGTGACGCAAAATGACGCAAAGACATTTCAAGACTTCAACCGCCTGTTGGATTCTTTATCGCACAAATTCCTTGAAACACAATTTATATAAAGATTTACTTGGAAGAATGGGAGCCCTGCTGCAAGTTGGCTCAGTCAACATTGTGAGTCTCATGGATTTCAACCTGCAAGTATTTTCCAGTCGTATCAGTGTTTGACTAGCAGTCGGTGCTCAAAGATTTCCATGTTCAATGAGGATGTTGTAGAACCCTGACCATCAAAGCATGGGTGTCGAGAAGGAAGGAAGGAGGGAGGGAAGGAGGGAAGGAGGGAAGGAGGGAAGGAGGGAAGGAGGGAAGGAGGGA